CGCGCTACCAGACTCGTCCCTGTCCCCGCCGGCGCCGAGGACCCCGGCTCCGTGCCCAGGTTCATTAAGCACGAGCAGTGCTACCCCGAGCCTGTGTCGGGGGCGGAAAGCTTCCCAAGGGGAAACGCTCGCCCCCGCCAGGCTTGGCGCAAAGGAGAGGGCCTGGTCAGTCAGTGCTGACGACCTGTGTTTTGGGCAGGTTTCTTAACCTGGTACCTGACCCCAAGCTGGTCAAATCCAGCTGGAAAATCCCTTATCAAAGCAGGATCCCTCGAAGGGGAGGTACCGTATTGCATCTCCCAGCATGGAGGCATCATCCTGGCCGGCGCTCTGCCTGTGCTGCTGGTGGAAGAGCAAAAGGCAAAGAGAGCCCGAGGGCGAGGTGGGGAAGTTGGATCTGAGGGTTAAGCTGCCGGAAGAGCAACCCTGTCGCGGTTAACGTTAAAGGCTGTGTTGGGAGCTCGGCTCTGGAGCGCAGCCTGCTTGCGAGTGCCCGTCGTCTTCCTCTCTGCTCTCGACGGGAGGGCAGCTGTTCCCTTCTCCTTGGGGTGCGTTCGTGGTGCCACTCGCTCCTCGCCCTTACCCTAACGGGGACAGACACGTGCCTAGGGTTGGCAGGCAATGTATTCTGCCCGACCGCATTGGAAAGTGGTTCCCAGCTCTCCATCTCCCTCCCTTCTCCCTTCCCCCTCCTCCCCGCTCATGGCAGGTGCTCCCACGCAACTAGACCTCCCGCTTCATGTTGCAGAGCACTGCAAGCACAAAGCGGCCATGGAGAACCTGGTGTCGGCACAGAAGCTCCTGGAGGCGGAGGAGCTGGAGTTGGCCAAGGTACCTGTCACGCAGGTCGCCGGTTTGAGCAGCGCGGTGGGCAGAAGTGGGGCCTCCACCTTTGTGCTGTAGGAAACCGCCTTCGCCCCAGGCGCTGCCTTGAACCGGAGGGGTTTGTACGACCTGCAGCGCAGAGCATAACCAGCTGGCCCCCGCGAGCCCCGCAGGGAAGGGGAGCGCGTGGCGGCGGCGTGGAGTTGGGTTGCACGCGTGGCCAAGCGAGGGGTCCCCCGCTGCAGGCCCCCCCCGGGGCAGCCCTGCCTCTGGCTGTGCCTCCGGGCACTGGGCACGGACGTGCTCCGGGGCAGTGGGAAGCCGAACGGTTTGCAAGCCAAATCCGCACTTGTGGCGATGCCTGGCTGATGTGCTGCCTCCTTCCAGGTGGCCGTACTGCTCCTGTATCATACCTCCATGAGCAGCAAAAGCCCTAGGGACTGGAATGAGTTTGACTACAAGATCCAGGTAATCCCTCTGGCTGTGTTTGGCTTTCCGCTGTGAGCGTGTCACGTGTGGCGCCCCGGGCTCTGCTCCAGCCTGCCTCTTGGCTGCGTTCCCCCGCCGGGCAGAGGGTGGGGGAGAAGAGGAGGTGCCTTGGTGTCTAAGGTTCTGCCTTTTGGTCCTTGTCCTGAGACCTTCCCTTATGCTCTGGCTTCCTGTGAAGTAAGGTGTGCCGAGGGAGCTGTGGGGCTCTCGAGTGGGTCTGGACGGTGACGGGCCCGTGACTGCCGCGTGTGCACGTGACAGCGCAGGCAGAGGCAGGACGGGAGCTGCCGCTGCCGGGTTCTCTGTGCTGAGAGTGGGTCAGGCGGGGGGCCGCCCC